TTTATCCGAATCTTGATCTAATGTTTGTGATGTATGTTGAGATAATGGTGTTTTTCTATATGATATATAGTACACTACCATTTAAGAGTACCCATGTTTTAAGATGTATCTCGCATGACTTCTTCCTTTGTGTGAAGCTTGATGAGGTGTTTTGCGCTTTCTTAAAATACTTGCTGAATTTGTCAACAAGGTCTCCTTCAGCTCGTCAGAATTTGTACTGAAATTATGCTTATTTTTTTCTCTATGTGTTATTTTTGATTTGAGTGGTTGGATTTGTATCTTTGCAAGGTTGCTTGAGATACATGTAACTGTGTGGCTAGTCCATTGTTACTAGGTAAAAGCAAATAAATAGACTATGACTTCGGTTAAGCTTTTCATTATTCACAGAGAACAAACGAAATTGCTCATATTGAAACCGACAAATGAAGATAAATTGGACAATTACGTTTTAGAATACAGGGTTATTTTGATAGTATTTTTGGATTGTATAGATGTACGATACAAGATTTCAATTTTAACCATTCAAATTTTCTTTAATGAATTGAAATCAAGCCTTGTCGATCATTCCCAGTTAAGCTATACATTACCTGCATAGAAGAGACCGTGTCTTCCTTCTAACAACAGCTATATGTATGAAAAGATTTATAGATATTATATTTTCCAAAGCAATTTTATCAAATGTATCATATTCTATTTCGTATTCTAAATATTAAGCTTTCATTCAGATAATATAATTCTAATTTGAGCAGTTAAGATTAAAGAAGAATGTGTTAACTACGTCAATAGTCTCATGCATTCTCGAACACTAGTCGTAACCAAAAAAAACAACCTGACCTATGTTCACAAAATTTAGTATCATTTTATTCATTATTATTATATAAAAATGGTTTTAGTTCTTTGAAATTTTAAATGCAGCTATTACTCGTACTATCCCATGAAGTTCCCACAGTACAATTACAAGCATTGGGTGTCGAATTATTCCATATCATATTTCCTGGACAAATACAGTGTCCTAAGTAACATACAAGATTACTTGAACAAGCATATTGTCCTGGACATGTTCCATTAAATGAATGTTGACTTGTGCATCGCTGTCCATCCCAAAAAGAACCCACTTGACAATCACACATATATGCTAATGATGTTGCATAACAATTACAACCAGTACTTGTTGCTGGACAAGACAGATTAACTGTTGTATTACATTGAAAATCATATTGACAAGATGCAGCATAAGTTTTCTAACGAAAATGAAAATAGAAACAATGAAAAATATAACGAAAAGACTATTAAAGAAAACTTTTTGTTGACACCATAATGTTGTTACATTATCCCAATAACTATATTGATCACATTCACATATAGATGATACACACGATAGACTCCTTGTAGTATCACATGGTACTGTAGTATTACATGATTCCCATCCAAGAGCATCTATAAAAATGGAAAGTATTATAAGAAAAAAAACTTGCGGGTTAATAAGTTCACTTTGTACACAAATAGATCCGCCCCAATAAGCTGTTGAACCACATCGACATCTTGAACCTATTATATTAAACAAAGAAATCTGTACTAACTATTTCTCAAAAATATTCTAATTGTACCTGTAGAAGTATTAGTACAAGAAAGTCCTAACCAATCTTGACAATCAAACTTTGTTTTACAACTAGCATTATATGTTAATCGAGCAATACATTGACCTTGAGTCGCACTACCAGATGTTGTATCCAAATAAGTAGTATTATCACAGACACATATATCTTGCCCAGTTGTATATGTTTGATTGGTAACGACTTCACACGTTAAAGTGGGTCGACAAGCCACACTATTACAAGGATCTCCATAATAACCATAATCTTGACATTTAATATCATTCCATATTTGATATTGACCACACGAACAATTTTGTGCTGTTGTATTCCATTGAAAATCACCCATACATATACATGTACCAGCAGGACACCAAAGCATACGTGTAGCATCGCATGAACGAGAATTCATATAACATGACTCACCGTAGAGTAGATATGGTTGCGTTATTACTCTGGGTGATGCTATCCAATAAGCAAGACCACCTGTAAACAAATATCACAGTTAGAATTTTTTCTCATTTTCAATACGGATATATGCATTCACAATTGTTGTGAAACATGATACATAAAAAGTGTTGAAATATATAGAGGAGAAATTTGAACTAATCACTTCACAGGTAATGACAGACATTACCATAGAAACGATATAGACTATGACAAGCCTTGTTCATATACGATCAAAAACTGTATATCAATAGTGTCTTGTAATAACATATGAACAATTCCCTTATTGAATTGAGGATTAAAATACTTCCTGCGAGATTAAAATGTCAAATATATTGAAAATAAAAAGATTTTAGAAAGATTTCTGCCATTGTTATATGCGTTATCATATACTATCGATATGATTAGAGTAAATAAAAGATCTAAACTCTGATTCATTCTTTCGTTCGATAATAAATCACAGTAGATCATTTAATCTCTGTTTGACTGATCTCGATAAACAAATATATCAACTACTATTTGTAAATGAAGACTTATCTTCTTCTCGTATATTTTTTGTGATATAGATATATCAGTGTATATTTTTATTTTTCATGGATTATTGTCACTTACCAATGCCTCCAGCTAGCCCTAATAAAACTAAACATGTTACAAGTGCTGTTTGCCATCTTCGTGTTAAACATGTGCTTTTACTAGCCAATTCTGAACGACGTGACTTTCTTAAAAAATCATCATTAACAATTTCAACCTGCATGAGTGTTTGTTCTTCAACTTCACCATCGTTTTCTAATAATTTTGGAAATTGAATCTCATTTGTTGATATGATTGATAGATCACGCGTCAATGAGCTAGTGATACCACTACCATCATTACTGTCTTGAGCTATTAATTGTTGTTTAGGTGAGGTCGAATTAGGTGATACTCTCATTCTTTTTTGTATGCTGTTTGATTATACACTCAAATCAAATGAATCGATTTGTTTTTACATAATGCTTTTTTCATATATAAAGTATTTTGATGACGATAGAATTTCTTTGATTTCATTCGTATTAAGTAAATGTAGAGAAAATATTTATTTAAGCATTGAATAAACTACGGTTGTCTACCGCATGATCGATTGACAATAATGATTTCAAAAAGAAAACATGTTCTCGAAGTACATTAGCCGATTAATTGCATTTTACCATTATCCAGTAATATGCCTTTGAGAAGCATTAAATTCAGTTGTATATTGACATATTGACAAACCATTTAGATTTATTTTTTGACAAACGAAAAAAAGTTAATTCATATTTACGAACACGTCAACTAAAAAAATGTGTACAGAATTGGGAAAAAAAATGGATGTTTAGCTATTATAATTTTTTAGTTTTCCTGTTTCACTTTTATTTTGTTACTATGAACTTTAATATAATCAGATTTTTTATCACAGCAATTAATGTGGAATCATGGAGAAATGATCAGTTTATTAAGGAAGACAAGATCAGAATATAAGATATGGTTTACTTATGGGACAAACCATATCTCAAAAATTAAGAAAATACGAAAACATGTATATCTATCACTATTTAGTGAAACTGTTCCATATTTTCAATCAAAATAGTTAGCATCTTGCCATTTTCAACTCTTCAAATTGTACAGTCGAGTTCAATTTTAAACTTTTAGATTATTTTAAGATACTGTTCATAATTGGTTTTTGGTTTTATCAAGTTTCATTGAACTACTCTTTAATTACTTATACAAGAAATAAGTGGTTTACGATCTGGATATAATCGAGGCTAAGATCGTATTTATTTGGTCTTCTTATCAAATATTACTTGGTACAGAAATGATTTAAAGAACAATAATTACACACGAAAGCATCAATGATTTTTTCACCTGGCTTTTTCCAGATGTACAGAAACTAAATACGTGGATTGAGGGAATCTTTCAAGTTGGAAATTCGAATAAAGAACGTATTTGTCTTTTAGCAATACAAGAGTACAAGCTTTGTACACAACTTCTGCGATTTATTTATTGATTAGAAAGTATCGAAACAGATTTTTCTTTTCTATTGATAGAAGAGGAATTTTTGCGAAAATTCATCTCCGATTGAGGAAATTTTTTATTTTAGTGGTGGATTTTGCGTCAGTGGTTCTTCTTTGATCAAAATAGAATGAAATCAAAATCAGTCTTCATCAAATGGTATTTTGATTGTAAGTTTCGAACATTGGATGCCTTCATATTATTGGAAATAAAGAGATATTCTTTGGCTAATGCTTAGCTTTTTTGCTTTGTTTATTAATGAAACAAATAATACAACAACGGGCGTTCGCGCACACACACACACGGTCTAACACTTTAAACAAACAGATAGAAAAAAGAGGCGACAAAGATCAACTGTACAAATGTGTGCGGTTGCTCTCAACAATGAGCAATACAAAAAAAAATAAATGAACTACTAATTAACTAATACTTGTTGATGCTGCTGTTGTTGATTGTGATGTTGTAACATTGTAACCAACTGTTGATGAATTAGTTTCAACAGGTTTTGTTTGGTTATAGAAATCAGGTAGAAGTTTAAGACGATTAAGAATTTGATCAATTATTGTTGCTGATAATGGTTCATGAGAAAACCAAAGTGAACTTTCAAGAAGTTGCCCATTTATTGGACGTAAATAGAAAACATCAGCTGTACCACGTACTTCTTCAGGACTAAGAAAAAATATATAAATAAAACAAAATATTGTTCAAAAGCGAAATAGAAACTTACCATTTTGAAACATAAAAATCATACTGTTTTATCGGACATCGTATTGGATCATTAATGTGTTCAGTTATTTCATAAACAGTTGGTGAGTTTGCTAGCGATTTCAGATCTTTATCAACGAAAATAGAAAAAAAAACAATTAGTCCAATCCTTGCGAGTTGAGAATGCGAAATACAATGTAGCTGATTTCATTAATTACAAGAAGATTGTTGTATTCTATGTATTTTGAAATATATTTCTTTATCATTTATTTATTTAATCCTTCAAAAATGCAATAAAGAAATAGTTGATTTATTAAAAAGAACAATTATTGATATATGATCTGTGATCATCGGTGGTAACAGTCGAAATGTTTACCGTCTATACTTCAATACTTCTGCTAGATCGTGTTTCACAAAAACGAATATTTTTTTTAAATTAAAATAAATCATTTACCAGGATTATGAGCATAAAATCTTAAATAATTCATTTGTTGTCCTTGTGGTGTACTCGTTGATAAACGTACCCATTGAGAATATTTTCCAAAATTTGCAAACGATATAGCCATATGTGATTCAACTGTTTTTAAATTAAAATACTTTGTATTTGTATAAATAAGTGTGGTTAATAAAGACCATGGTGTTAATGTACCCAATTGATGTACATCATATAATAATTCTTCATCAATTAATGATATATATGTATTAGCTAAAATAATATCGAATATAAAATTATTTGTTATTTTAATACTATTTGACTTACAATCAGCTAAAACACGTGGTACATAATTTGCAAGAATTTTATTTAATGTTGAATTAAATTCAACATAACGTGGATCAAATAAATCAATTTGACGATTATTTAAATTTAAATAAAATTGTATACCTAAAAATTTATAAAATTTTGTAAAGTTGTTATAAAGATTAAAAAAAAATCAAAATTCGTATATAGAATCATTTCAAATAAATTGTGTTTATGATATCGAATTGCTAATGAATCTTTTCTGTAGTAGTACAACTTAATAGAAAAAGTATGATTTCAAATTTCAAATTGAAATTTTATGATGATTGCAAAACAAAAGGTGTCGTTCTCAAACAAGAACCACTTTTGAAGAAAATTTTTTTGGAACCTGATCTTACTAAAAATTCCACTATAAGTAAAGTCTATGGCTTGAAGTCTATTCTGAAATTCTTGAACTTTTTCATCATAAGGTTATAAAGTTATCGGCTAATTAAGCTTGATTAGGTATGAGCTGCAGCACACAATATTTTTGCATCTGTTTATGGTGAAAAAAACTTGTTCAAAAAGATAATCTTTATAAAGAAACAAAGTCAAATTGAAGATGGACATATTTCGTTTTCATTAGTTTTACCCATGTATGAAAGTATACTGATAACAGATGTGCGGGACATGTTTCAGTCCATGATTTTAAGAAAATGATCTTGAAAATCATCAATTAGGACATGATTCAAGAGAGATGATTGAAAAAAGTTCTAGTTATCGACCATGTCAATCAAAAAACGAATATGGAAAAAATTGTTTAAATATGAGGTAAATAAATCCTTGGATAGTTTTATTTAGGTCGAAGCTCGAGAATCTGGCGAAGAAAAGTCATACATTTAAATAGTTATAATTATTCTAAAATCTTAAACATACCTAAACAAAGGTAATAGATGCTTTCTGGTAAATATGGATGACCTGTTGGACGACGAACTTCACGTATGAATACATCCATCACATGTTGTAATTCATCTCCATTTGTATATGAAAGTAAATCGGATTTAATTAGATATTGTTTGGCCATTGCCTCATCTATAATAGTTTACCATTTCAGAAAAAAAAACACACTAAGATAGTCAATTGAATAGGATACCTTCAGGTGTAGTTGATGCTGATGGATATAAAATAGATTGATTACGTTGTGCACACCATTGTTGAAATGCTTCAACACCATAAGTCCATTTAAGACGATCGCCAGCATCGGGTAACATTCGAAGAAGCTAATATAATAGAAGATTTCTATTAAAAAATGATTATTTTAGATGATACTTTTTGAATTTCAGGATCATTTGATGCTATAGGATCAATATAATGTGCTTCAAGATCAAGTTCAGGTAAATTTTCAATAGTTTGTGACGTTGCTAAATAAGAATCTAATACAAAGAAAACAATAAAACCAAAAATAAATTTGCATCAAATAAACAAACCATCCCGAGTTAAATCCATCATCATCATTGAATCATTAACATGATTTGTTATTGTTTGTTGTGATTGATTTTCAGCTCGTACAAGACTTTCAGCATACATAACAAGAGCTGCTTGAAATGGATCATCTGGTAAAAGATCACGTTGGGTCTAAAATAATTTTCAATTGAAAAATTATTTCATTTCATTTATTTCTCATTTTCAACTAAGGTTCTTGTAAGATAAAATGGAGTTTTTTTTCTTTCACAATTTATTCGCTAAAATAAAAGGTGATGGAAAAACTTTTCACAACAATGTATTTTAAATATTTCCTTATAATATGAAGGACCTAGCTCAAATACAAATAGTAATTTTAATAATCCATGGAATCTTCTATCGGATGCATCAACTATGATGGCGAAGTTTCTAGAAAAAAAATTTGACACGTTAATTTTCAGGTTCTGATAGATCTTGTTGTAGCTATGTTTTAACAATACTACTTTAAAGAACACAAAAATCTGAATTGAATGAAGAGTCGCCAAGTTTACTACGAGCTTTCCTTAAAAATTGAAAAGCATTACAAGAATCGTAAAAAGAAGTTTTTTAGCAACACTTTTGATAAAAATTTTTTTTTTTTCAGTTTTTACGAGAAGAACACAGCGTATGTAGAGACTTCAAGACTAAAATGTCTACTCTTTCATCCTCGAGTATTTGTGACATTTATAAATTTTTTATGGAACCGCCGCAGAAAACGCAGCAATCTTATATTTTGTTCAAACTTTTGTATTCTTTAAAATGGCAATGTTAAAGAAATTATCTTCTAAGATCTGAACACTATCGTGTCCGGGTTTTTGAAAATCATGACATCATAACCTAGGTGCTTAGTGTTATAGAAAAAGAATAATCAATAGATTATTGTTAAAGTTTTTTTTTTCATCACATTATATTGAATTTATCTTACTTGAAGATACTCTCGAATATTTTTATAAGCTTTTTTTGGTACAGGTATCATAATC